AGAGCAACGTTACGTTACGTCAAGCTTTGAGGTTGACTGAGCCAAGCTCACTGTCCGCTTGACGACCCACACTACTGCTGACGACGGAGGGGCTGGCTGATGGTGGAGAGAGAGATCCTCAGGCCTGGTCGATCTCATGCGGTTGGGAAAAAGGAATGAACAAAACGAAAGCTTCTCAGAATTGGGTAGACCGACGAACTGGTCTTATAAGGTAAAGGTGCCCCGTACGTTGCATGCGACGTGCCAGGCTGGGTTGGGGCAATGGTACGATCCAATATGTTGATCCCCCCAGTATTCGGTTCCTGATAATCTAGGGAAAATAGTAGGCTATGATTCGTTTGTTGGTGGCGATGAACAAGGGGTATGCCTTCATGAGAGTCGAGGCGCAGGGCGGATGAGAAAAGGCAGCGGCTGTGCTTTGACGCCAATCCAACGCCGGGGATTAAAGGAGCTGAATGAGCCGAGAGGCGCGGAGAAGAACCGAAGAAACAAGATGATGGGTCTGCAGGAGACGATGGCGTTGGGATGGTCGAATTGTTGGTTTATGCTCTCATAATAAAACTAGTGTCCCTTGGGATAGTCAAGCGCAGTAAAGAGCGCGTGAAAAGCGACAAAGATGATAGATGAACCAAGCTCAATAGGGATAGAGGTGACAAATGCCCATGATGTCTCGAATTTGACAGGAACAAGAAAGATTGGCTGCTAGTATCATCTGGTCAAAGGCCAAAGTAGTGTCAACGCAGGGACTCTGGAAGGTAAGATCGGGCATTGGGATCATCAACACCGCCTGTCATGAGCATCGCTTGCAAGGATGACAGGAGGGGGAAGGAGGAGTTGGAGGAGGTCAAGGGGAGGAGCGGCAGAGGTCCCCCAAGGCCAAGGACCTAAGCCAGACCAGGGCAGCCAACCGTCATGGCGGCAGGGGGCGGGGAACGGCACCTACGACCAAACAACTTTAATTACCGACCAATCAAGCACACGAAAACCTCCGATCCAAGGGCGGCATTGTCTCCATCGACCAGGAAACAAGAAACGTAATTAGAGTATTCTCTTGTAAAGCCTTTCATTCGGTCTCGCTCAGTCGGCAACAGTAAGAGAAGCATTTCGATGGCTCTCGATGTTCGGCAGACCAAGCTTTGGATACGCGTGTTGCAGTCAATATTCAGCGAGAGAAGTCTGAAAAAAGTGAGAAACCATAGATGGCTGGTCACCAGACGCACATTGCAAGCCAAGACAGAAAGCCAAGAGTGGAGGGTACCGGTAGCTTGCCCACACCAACGGCGGATCTGCAATCATACCTACTTACCTTACCTTATGTAAGATTCTTATCTTTCACAGGATCCGACACAGGCCGTGATTACATACAAGGGCCTCATACTGCATTTCGGCCCTCGACAGTGAGAGATCTGGAAACATCTAGGAGCTTTCGACACTAAGAGTAAGATTCTGGTCGCCGCAGTCTCATCACAATTCTCGTAAGTAGGGAGAGAAACTAGAAAGCTCTTTCCTTCAACGTCACCCAATTTCAACTGTCATCAAAATAGCGTGGAGGCTTTGAGACAGGTCCTGATCTGCCAGTATTAATCAATACACATCTTTGGTAGTGACTGGTGTCATATCCTGCCTGAAGGTAATGGCGGTTTCAAGGCGCATAGTCTAACGTATCCGTAGATGCAAAAAGCTCAGCTCCTTTAATAGGTAGCCTACGAAAGATCCGAGGAGACTCTTACCAGCCTCAGGTGTAACGATGCAAGGATTTTTACTAGAAGAAGACGGGACTCGAACCCGGGACCTATGTGTGCGGAATAATTCATTCAGATGCGCCGGTGTCCCCCGCTACGACACAGGCCTTGGTGATAGAATCAAGCATTTCTATTCATTATAGAGGTATCGCGGGCGGGCGAAGCTGGAATAACCCAGAGAAGGAGAGGACATCATGGTGTATATTCAACCTGCCTGGAAGGGGTGGAACCACACGGTTCCGGTGGTTCCTGGGGAAATGAGGCTGGAGGGCCGGTGGCTGTGCGGCCGTTGCGCTGAATAATCAGAAGCATCGTGTGCCTGAATTAGTCAGGGCAAGCCACACTTGGAATTCGCCTGAACCTTCCGCAGTGAAGAATCTCCGGACGTTGGCTTTACACCACTTTTGCGCAGTGTATCACGTGACTACATACCTGTTCTTCCAATCAAAGGCTTTGTTGTGGGCCCAGCTCTGAATTCTCCGTCATCTCAGGAACGTTCTTTGGCTCTCTTGCCTCACCTGCCTCGAGTCACTTCCTCCACCATACACAACATTCTTTTGTTGCTCTATTGTGCATCACCAACATCCTCCTGCCGGAGTTATCGCCTGCTCTCCATATACCCCGGCGCAAGCGATTTCCACTACCGCGCGCATTTTTAACACGTCAACCAAAGTCTCCGGTGCCGTATTCGACGCCGACTTTTCTTTCCCGACAGCAACGCGTCTGGTCCTACAGCTCAACTTCAAAAAATCCAACGTACCACGACTCGTCGCATTCGCACTCGAAGCTTCACGCGATACTCGCCATATCGGCGCCAATCAACATGACGGTCCAGGTCGTCCTCAACACCCCGCTGGCGGATGCTTTGAGCGCCGCCATCCAGCCCAAATTGATCGAGGCCGGCTGGGCATCAGGCTCCGACGACGATGCCGCGCTTGTCGAATACATCATTCTCATGCTCGTCAATGGCCGCACGCAGGAGCAGATTGCCACCGAACTCTCTGCTGATCTCCTTGGTCTGGGTCCCGAAGATGCGGGCGCCCAGCAATTCGCCGCATGGCTCTTTCAGCAGGTTGAGCAGACCGACGCACAACTCAACGGCACGCAACCTTCTGGTAACGATGCCATGACTGGCATGTCTCAAGGAAACGGAGACTTTGATACCGACATGGGTGCAGGTGATGGCAATGAATTGAACGCGTTTGTCTCCCTAACCTATCCCCAGCAGCTCGTACCTTACTAACCCGCTGTAGCCCGACTGGCCCGCGATCCATGCGAAACGGTCCCAATCCCCGAGGCGGTCGCGACAAGCGGATGCTGGGTCACATGACCAAGGCTATGGACCGGTCCGGCGATTCGGTTCTTCACCGCGTCCGCGGGAACGACAGAATCAACTCCCACGCCCGAGGCCCCCCCACGGGCCCCAGAGGCGGAATGGGACGCGGCGGACGACCCATGAACAACCGCGGAGTGAACATCCAAGCTGGTCTCAACGCGATGGCAGGAATGAACGGTCAACATGGCGGTCCCCCGGGAATGAACCCCATGGCCCAAGCATGGGGTATGCCCCCGCCGCAAGGACAACCGTCACAAATGGACCTCATGGCCATGATGGAGCAGCAAGCGCAGATGATGTCACAACTCCAGCAGCAGCTCATGAACCAAAATGGTGGGCGAGGTGGACGCCGCGGCGGCAAGTCTTTGTTCGATCGCACCCAAAACTCTCGCGGCGGTTTCCGGCAACATCAATCCAGAGACAAGCAGGATTCGGCAATGACGGAAGGCGGAGAAGGAGACGATGTCGACATATCACAATCAAAGCGCGAACCGCCCAACCCTGACGAGACTGTCTGCAAGTACAACCTCCGTTGCACCAACGGCGAGTGCAAGTTTGCGCATCAGTCACCCGCGGCACCGCCAGGCACCACTGTCGACATTAACGATGTATGCACTTTTGGTGCCGCATGCAAAAACCGCAAGTGTGTCGGACGGCACCCATCTCCAGCAGCCAGACTGGCGCATCAAAGCGAGCAAGACTGCAAATTCTTCCCCAACTGCACGAATCCGAGATGCCCCTTCAAGCATCCCGAGATGCCGCTGTGCCGCAACGGTGCTGGGTGTACGACTGCGGGTTGCAAATTTACACATGTTAAGGTCAAGTGTAGATTCAACCCTTGCAAAAACCCTCATTGCATGTATACCCATGAGGAAGGCCAGCAGGGCGTCTTCAAGGATAAGGTGTGGACCGCCGAGGGTGTCGACGACCACGTTAGCGAACGTCAGTTTATCGACACGAACGCACAAGCAGAAGTGATTCTTCCCGATTCAGAGAACGCTGTGAACCAAGAGCAGAGCAATGCGCAGGAGGTTATCAGCTAGGGGCTCATACGAACGTAAAACCTCAGGAACGCGGACTCCTAGCAGGGGGTTTCCGCAATGCAAGAAGCGTTGTCTCTAGCAATGAGGCTGATCGGACGGCGGGTGGTGGATTGGAGGAGAGCAGCTGACTCGGATTGGCGTCTCGCATCAGACCTGGTATACCCTTAGGAGGATCACTGTGAACAATTTCAGTTTTGGGATCGTTAGGAGGCTTCCAAGAAGAGGCCTCGATGGTGGAATGGGAGCAGCGACTTCTTGTATGATAATTGGACGATGATGTATGCCGAAAGCGACATGGCACTTTGGGCGTTTTGCGGGTGCAATTATTCTCTTATTCAAGTATAGACTGGGCTTTGGGCAAGCTGAAATAAAACGAATCAGAGGACCTCATAAATTGCGGTCCCTGATAGTGTTAGAGGCAGAACATGCTGTCCTCTTTAGTAGCCATACTCCATGTTCTCTGGTCCTTGTTCCTTGATGTCTTGTGTGTCAATCACCCTCTGACTGTCCCGAGCCAACTACTTAGACTACAAATATTTAGGATAATAGTCTGTAGCCACAACATACAAAGGTTCCCAATTTCAAATAGCATCTAGTCTGCATCAATATTGAATGTGACTATCCTGGGAAAGCAATTGACCTTCAAGACGTAAAAGCTGCCCATATTGGCAATTGATGTTGGTTCGAGGTGGTGGGGCCGGAAGCTTCAAGGTCCCCTTAGCTCCAGGTACGGAATTGTTTGCTGCAAGACCCCAGTCCATGTCGTGACGCCACTTTGCAGCACCGACATCTCTACCAACGGTCAACCTCGGATTACCACTCTCTTCCTTTCTTTCTTTCTCCCTTTCACCTCTAATCTAAGTCATTGCAACTTAACAAATGGTGCTCAGGAGAGCTGACGATGCATTCATGACTCTACTGAGGTCCTACCACTCCCAGCGCTTCTGCAGCGCGGCCCTCGGCGTCTGCGGCAGAAGCGCCGCCGTCGCCGTCGTGCCGGCGCGACGATCCTTCTCGACAACCACCGTCGTCGCGAGACAAGAACGGCGACGAGCCCAGAACGAGGCGGAACCAATCTCTACAAAGAACATCCAGGTCCCGACTGACATCGCCGTCGTTGGTGGCGGCATCGCTGGCCTCACGACCGCGCACTACCTGGCAAAGCTGCTCCCCGAGACGTCCAACATCACCATTTACGAGGCAGGGGACCGGGTGGGTGGATGGATCGACACGCAGGAGCTCGAGGTCGAGGTCAATGGCAAGAGGAGTAATGTGCGCTTCGAGCGCGGGCCGAGGACGCTGCGCGGTATGGGCAAGGATACATGGAAGTTTGACGATCTCGTGCTCTTCGACATGGTTCGTTTTTTCTCGTTGCGAAGATCTATTGTGCACCGTATTTGCTGACAGAAGCCCCTTCCCTTCAATAAACAGATCAGAGACCTCAAAATGCAAGGCGAATACCTAGGCATCAAGTCACCGCCCCGGTACATCTACTACCCGGACCACCTCGTCGAGATGCACCCGCGCAACGTCTTCCGCGAAGCCGCCTTCAAGGGCATCATCCCGGGCTTTCTGAACCTCTTGTGGCGCCGCAAAAAGGCCCGCGAGGAGGTCAAGCCGGCCGACATGTCCGTCGCCGACTTCATCGCCACTTATACGGGACGCCCCGAACTGACGGACAACCTGGCGTCGGCCATGATCCACGGCATCTGGGGAGGCAACGCCGACAAGTTGAGCATGCGCAGCTTCATGCCCGGGCCTTGGCACCGCTTCTTCGACAAGCCGTACAGTGAGGACGACTGGGTGTCGTATCCGCGGAGCGAGGTTGGGATAATGGCTACGTTGGGCCAAGATGAGGAGCTTCGGCAGTACTTGAAGTCGGCGCAAAAGGACCAGCTCGTCTTCTTCGAGAAGGGCATGAGCAGTCTGCCGAATACCATTGCGGACCACCTGAGGGGAAGGAAGAACGTCACATTCAAGATGGGCGAACCCGTCACTGGTCTGGAGTACGATAATAAGGGCAGAAAGGTCATGGTGAGCTGAACATGTCTTCTTTTTCTTAAAATCCACCCTTTAAACCGACACCACAAACTAACATGCTACCCACCCCCCTCCTTTAGCTCTCATCACCAAACTCGACGTCCCCGACACCATATGACAAAGTCATCTCCACCACCACCAGCAAAGCACTCCACGCCGTGACGGGAGACGCCCTCCCCTCCCTCGCAAACTCCCCCAACGTCTCCATCATGGCCGTGAACCTCTGGTACCCGCAGCCGAACCTCAACGCCGCCCACCCCGGCGTTGGCTACCTCGTCCCCCGCGCAACAGACTCCAACCTCGAAGGCCTCCTCGGCGTCTTCTTCGACTCGGACGTCGTGCCCCGCGCCCCCGACGAGCCCGAAGGCACTAAATTCTTCGTCCTCATGGGCGGCCACTACTTCGACGGCCTCCCCGACGACGCCCTCCCCACCGAAGCCGAAGGCATCGAAATGGCAAAGGCCGTCGTCGAGCGCCACCTCGGCATCCCCCAGTCCACCCCGGCCTTTGCCATGGCGAGCCTCGCGAAAGACTGCATCCCGCAGCACCACGTCGGCCACTACAAGCGCATGGCGCACGCGAGCTACGAGCTGCGCGACGCCTTCAAGGGCCAGCTCACCGTCGCGGGCGGCTCGTACACGGGCATCGGCGTCATGGGCGCCCTGCGCGCGGGTTACGACGTTGCTGTGCACATTGCCCAGTCTGCGCAGGAGCACGTCGGCGACACGGGCCTCGAGCAGTTTGATAGCAGCGCTGAAAAGTTTTCGTCGCCTCGGAGCGGCCTACGTGCCCTCGGGCGTGATATCGACGAGAAGATTGGGTGGAGGAATTATATCCGCTAAATAAGGAACAGAAGACGCGGGCTGGGGTTGTTTGCCCATGTGTTTGAAGGGATATCTCATTCTCTTGTATCATCATTCTGCGCTCTTGTACTATCTACAAATTTGGGATATTTTCATAGATGTAGAACAAAAAAAGGCCTCGTCGACTTTTGCTATTATATGAGCTTTTCAGGGATAGCGACAACAAATGTATGGCATGAGGACGTGCTGCTCACCATATCTTGAGATATTGTTTCGCATCACTATCATCATGCCAAGTTTCGAAATTTACGCTTCTTCTCAAACCTTTATATCCTCCGTGTTCCTCTCTTCGTGATACTCGTCAAGAAAGCATGGGAAGAAGATAACGACAAGGGAGATAACAGTTGATAGGTAAACATGACGGATAACAGATGCAATCAAGATGATAGTGACAGGAAAGAGGTTTACTTCTGTGTTGATCTGTGTTCCCTTTTGTCACAGCAACATTAGAGGCTGGTATTGACCCCCCAAATAATTTCCATATCACACAAGAGTCATGGCACGAAATACAGGGAAGGCACAATTGACTTTAATGATATTTTTGAGGTATCTTTGGGGGGGGGGGGGACCATCTACCTGTCCCTTGGCCAAACCGGCCCAAACCTTTTTACAGGCACCGCTCCCATGCGCGCGTGCTTCACAACCACCATGGCTTTCACGTATCGTATACCCCGTCCCGTTGGTATCACGTCGTCACTAAATAATAATGATGAGTCGAAGAAGAATAAAAAAATAAAAAACAGTTACACCGTCGCATCCAAACCACGCCTCTTCTGGGCCAAGGTTATGCAACGCTGTTGAGCAGCAGCCTCTCTGCCCACGCCTACGCCGATGTCCCCTTCCCTTCTGGATCTAGTTCCATGTCTCGCCTGCAGGCACTCAATCGAGGACCAAGGGCGCTTGCTTACTTCCTCCACCGGTCCTATTGCTCCCTTGGCTCACGCTCGTTGGCTGCGTCCCAAAAGACTGATTGGTTGATGTTGTTTGGCTGGTTTGCGTCGGTTGGCCTTCGGTTGATGGTGCGCTGCTAACGTCACCAGTCACAGCGTATGCTCGCACCAGGTCGTCAAGCTTCGTGAGCAACTCCATGGTGCTTGGGCCAGGCCGCGAGGCTGCGCTCGTCCTAAGACCCCTCCATCCATTGCCGTGAGATTCCCAAATTCCCTTTAGGATCTTGTTGAACTCCTCGTCAGGAGCCACCGCGCCCTGTGTTGCACGAGTAAAATTCCACCACATCTCGTTGCGCCGCATCCTGCTTCGTATTTCCAGTACTAAGACCCGGGGCTCGCCTGTCGGGCTGGGCAGGGTATAACGAAGAGCGATCCAGTCGATGGACCTGGTGAAGATCTCGACGCGACCTTGGTTGGTTGTTTCGAGGGGTTCCCACTTCGATTCGATGCTCTCGAGGGTTCTTAGAACTGGGAGCAGTATCGGCATGTAAAAGATCAAAACTCTGAGCCCGTCCTGAGTATTTACCAACGTCGTGAGTAGGTCAAGAACTCGCGCGTGCGGATTTCCCTTCTCCAGGGACATTCTAATCTGACTCTTAGCCAAGTCGAGGGATACCCTCCAGCGTTTTGGCTTCAGAGTCTGGTCGCTCTCGCCCGGCATTGTGATATCGCTATACGTGAAGACGACCTGCTGAAGGCTGACTCTTTCGCACTTAACAGAACCCCTTGCTTTGCTCATGGCCTCGAGGAAGCCTACAAGGCGATCAATGGACTTGACATGGGTTGTCAAAGTCTCTAGAATAGGTCGCCCAACCAAGTAGCGTATGCGGAATATGAACTCGCCCTTCTTGGGACTGAAGGAGACGTTGCGGTCAATACGGCCCTTAAGCAGTGCGAATTTAGTCTTGTCTTTGACCCGGACAATGGCGTCAACAATAGTGTTGAGTTCGGCGTTTTCGAGTATCTCCACAGCTGAGGGAGCATTGCCATCTTGGCCCTGGGCGGCTGTAGGCCGAGTTTGAAGTCCCTTGAACTTCACCTCGACCTGATCCTGCGCCCACGATGAGTCCTGTTTGCTCGATTGCCTCGAGGTGTCTTTGGAGCCATCCTGTGCCCCCGTTTCTGATGACCCCAAGATCTGGGACAGCTTGATAACCAGAGACGGCAGCCGTACTTGTTGCGGTAGCGCATAATTAGTAGACTCCTTCATCAGGTACTGGATCTTGCCCCTATGCAAATGCTCCAAGTCGGTAGCCTGTTGAACGATGCCAGTAACAAAGAGTGTCAGGTGAGACCAGAAGGCGTCATCCAGATCGGGTTGCCCTCGAGTGAGTTGCAGTTTGGTGTGGAACTTGATTGGACGTGTTGGCATGTTGCGGTCACTATAATCGTTAGTATCGCGGACCCAGCGCCTCTCAGGGGTATCAAACTTACATATCAAGCAGCCACCATTCGTCGCCACTCAGGCTCAAGGACACCATGACGAACCAATTTTGATCCAGGCTCTGGCGCTGCATGAAAATAGTTTGGAACGCCTCACGGGTCCGAATGATTTGCTTGATGTCTTCGCCACCAAGGGGACTCTTGCAAGTCTTCCAGCCCACACTTCGTCCCCTACGGCTGCACTCTTCAATGAAGTAGCCCCATCTGATATTCTCGAGGCAGGTAACTCCGTCCTCTGCAGGATCCTTGCCGCCGTAATTGAGGCGGCTTTCTCCCTGTAATGTATATTTTGCGTGAGGCTTGATCGCGGCGTATCCAGTGATGGGTTGTATGAGTAGCGTAACGTTGTCCCGAGGGCTCAGTTGCATGCTCAAGGATGATTCCATCGGTTCCGTTTGAGAGATTGTCAACGTCATCGAGGACTCCCTGTTGATGAATCGAGGATATGATAGAAGCTTGGTGTGGATGGATGACAGAATGTGCTCAACGTGTCTGGCCACGGCTGTCTTGAGCAGGTCTTCGGCACACAAGTTGTCCACGTCAAATGGCAATAACACATCTTTGACTTCCTTGTTGTCCCGATACCAGCGTGCAACTAATCGGCTGGAGTGTTTCGAATCAGTCTGCCCATTCGTCTTCTTAGCACTGTTCACTGCAATCATGATCCAGCTCTTTGGTCCATTGGCTCCGTATCGAGTGGTCCAGTATTGTAGGGCTAAGGCTCTGTTCAGAGGTTCCACCATCAACGTGCCGGTCCATGTGCTTCGACTCAGCTCGATGGCCTGTCTCCTGAGCTCGCTGATCTTGTGCGTGAGCACAAATTCGTGTAGGAATCGGTAGCATCCTTCGAGGCCTTCTTTTCCGAGGATTTCGTTGACGTGCGCTTCGAGAAACGACACCAGCGCGTCAGAGAGCTTGCTTGATGATGGCGAAAAGGCGAAGCGGAAGTCAATGAACCAGAATTGTTGGGTAAAGTCCTCGTCGGCGATTGTCAGATCCACTTCAAACTCGCCCTTCACCACGAAAGTGACTCTTCCAGACTGGATACTGTAATTCTTGAACTGATGTGGTATCTTGTCGTAGTCTTCCAGGTTCAGACGAAGAGAGAGCATCGTGTTAAGATCGTCGATCCATTTCAGTTGTTCTTCTGCTGTCAACGGCGGCGGTGGTATATATCCAGGCTACGACAGATTAGCTCCCATCTCCACCTCGTCAAGATCTGGATAACCTACCTCTGGAATCCATGACGCTTCACCAGTCGTTAGGACTTGCAGAGCCGTCTTCAAGTCAGGGTTGGGAAGTCGGGCGTTGTCCAGCGAACGCTTCAGGTCAATCAGTAAGTCCTGAGAGTAGTCATATAGCATGCGTTTCGAGTCAATGTGTGCCTTGATATCGATAAGCTTGCTGACAGCCTCCGCATTCTTACTCCAGTCCGTAATGACGAGGGCCTTGACCCATTTGGAATGTGCGTCTTGTGCAAACTTGATCATGAGCATCTTCTTTCTCTTATTTCCTTCTGACATATCGTCAGGTGCATCGCTGCCGTGGGGTGTATTTCCATTCACAGCAGGAGGTGCCCACTTGATGGAACCCATTTCAATGACAGTCTTCTGTAGCTCTTCGTGGGTGTGTTGCGCCAGTCGCGCGACAATCGTCGATAGGGGAATATACCCCTGGGTGATGTGCACAATCTCCTCGGGTAGGTCGTTCATCCTCGGCTTTTGCTGCAATGTCAGCCCGGTCGACATCTGCGATTGTTGCTTTCCTTGGGAGTCGTTTTGAGCGTTTCCACCGGAGAGGCCATTCGCCATGTTACCGGCCCCAGGGGTGTCGGCGGGCGCCTTGCCCTTGTTTGGCTGTCCTTCCATCGTTCCACCATTGGCGCCGTTGACCTTCAGGTTTCTGTCATGGTTTGGATGTGTGCCGTTCAAACCCCCATTCTCCATGTTGACGATTCCAGGCATCGGGGGAGGGCCCTTCCTGCCTCGTTGCCTGCGTCACGACCGGCCCCCCAAAATATGAGCTTGCTTCTTTCCTGGTCGATGAAATACGGAGTACCGATGCTGTGTGAAGCCGTGCCGGATGAGCAAGGGAGGATAATGAAATGCTGGTCCCGGTCCGAGGTGGCTGTCAGACGGGATTCAGTCATCGGCGCCAGATGCGCAAGCCAGCCGGACAGCGCAGTCGCATCAACTAAGAAACCGAAGTTCCAAAGAGGGACGCGATACGCGTAGGAGAAGTTCGGTCGTCGAGGTTTCCTAGTTGACAGGCGCAAGCGTGGTGTCGTAGAAACACGATGAGGTCGTGGTCAATCGGAGGAACCGATCTAGCGTCGATCGTCGATTGGGGGGGAGGACGCGGGATCGTTGTCGGAATTGTATTGTTGATTCTCGTAGAAAGTAATTCGCAACTTTACGTAGTCAATGCATACGGGGTCTCCGAAGGGTCGTGAAAGTCGGAGCGCGCAAAAATGTTCGGTTTGTTGACTGCTAGGTAATTGGGCAAGTGGTGATGCGATGGTGAGAGCGTGCAGCCAGGCATACAACCAGGGCGGGAACTAGATCGGTCACGGTGCAACCCGAGCCT